GAACGAATGCAAGCGAGGTCACGGTGGTGATTTAAGAGCCACATACACCTTCATGCTGCTAAAATTACATGGTTGCGGCTTTTTATTTTGGCACTATGATGTCAATTGGATGAGACATAAATAGACCCCTAAAACCTATTCGCCTCACCAAGGGAACACGCTAAACTAATTGTCCTTTACTCCCAACAGATCTGAGCTTCAACAGCTTATTTATGTTATGTAATGTTATATGTGTAATGAAATTGTTCCATCGCTATTCAACACAACAGATATATTTATGTAACACTTATATTATTCTGAACGGTACCTGTTAAAATATGTAAAACAGTAAGCAATCAAATCACTATTGAATAAATAATTAAAATAATAATTATACAGTCACCGGCCACTTTATTAGGTACACGTTCCTAATACCCAGTGTGACCCCCTTTTGCCTTAAGAACTGCCTTAATCCTCCGTGGCATAAATTCAACAAGGTATTGAAAATATTCCTCAGAGAGTTTGGTCCATATTGACATGATGGCATCACGCAGTTGCTGCAGATTTGTTGCCTGCACATCCATGATGTGAAATCTCCACATGCCAAAGATGCTCTATTGGATTGAGGTCTGATGACTGTGGAGGCCATTTGAGTACAGCGAACTCATTGTTATGTTCAAGAAACCAGTGTGAGATAATTCCTGCTTTATGACATGGCACGTTATTCTGCTGGAAGTAGCCATCAGAAGATGGGCACACTGTGGTTATAAAGGCATGGACATGGTCAGCAAAAGTACTCAGGTAGGCTGTGGCATTGACACGATGCTCAATTGGTACTAATGGGTCCAAAGTGTGTCAAGAAAAATCCCCCACACCATTACAACACCACCAGCAGCCTGAAACGTTGATACAAGGCAGGATGGATTCATGCTTTCATGTTATTGACACCAAATTCTGACCCTACTATTTAAATGTCATAGCAGAAATCAAGATTCATCAGACCAGGCAAAGTTTTTCCAATCTTCTTTTGTCCAATTTTGGTGAGCCTGTGCGAATTGTCTCAGTTTCCTGTTATTAGCTGACAGGAGGGTAGCAGCCGGTGTGGTCTTCTGCTGCTGTAGCCCATCTGCCTCAAGGTTCAATGTGTTGTGCGTTCAGAGATGCTCTTCTGTATACCTCAGTTGTAACGAATGGTTATTTGAGTCACTGTTGCAGATTGTCTTGACCATGTCTACATGAAAATTGCAACGAGTTGCTCCCATGTGATTGAATGATTAGAAATTTGCATTAACCAACAGTTGGACAGGTGTACCTAATAAAGTGGCCAATATGTGTGTGTGTGTGTGTGTGTGTGTGTGTGTGTGTGTGTGTGTGAGATAATTATATATTAATTATTAATTATATATATATATATATATATATATATATATATATATATATATATATATATATATATATATATTAGGGATGTAACAATATTGTAAATACCGTCATACCGCATTAGTAATTGTTTTCAATATTACCGTAGTTGCATGACTCAATAAGACTATATTTCTGAGAAAAGTTTGCTTAGGCGAATGAAGCGAACGGGAGGTAGCGGGAACTACAATTCCCATCAGCCTAGGCGTGGCCATCATCCTTTGCGGTCTGTTGTCACTACAGATCCAGTAATGCGGACATGGAGTGTGTTGCTAGTAGCGGGGAAGAAAAAGAGCTGGAAATGACCGAACCTAAAGCGGGTTTTAAATCGGATGTGTGGAAGCATTTCGATTTCTTTCTAAAAAGATACGAAAAAGGAGAAAAGGTGACAGACAAAGAAAAAAAACAGTATGCAGGCACTGCCAGACTGTGGTGAAATATAAGTCGGGGAATACAACTAAAAACAGCCATGGGGACTGCAGAACACAGCACACTTGTTAGATTGATGCAGACATTGACTTGTACCGCAAAGAGACCTCTATCTCACTCATGGCTTGTCCTCTCAAGTGGTGGAAAGACAATGCACAGCGTTACCCACTGCTGTCAACCTTGACTAAATCATATCTCTCTGTCCCAGAAACCTCCGTCCCAAATGAGAGGTTTTTTTTTCTGTTGCAGGGGACATGCCCAGAGATCCCAGCCTTTACCAGATTACAGTTATATGATAATTTTCCTTAAAAACCCATCTCTGTCTAAGTGAGTGAGTGATTAAATGTTGAATGTGATGAGTTTAACAATACTAAATTGAAACTTTATTTTTTTTTATGGTTGTATAGTTTTTTGTTATTAAAATAGAAAAATTGAAGTTCCTGTTTCAAAACTTACAGATAGATGGCTAATTTGTATGTCATTGAAATGTTCAGTGCTAAGGTAAATAAACACATTTGGCACTTCTTTCCAAGTCTTTTCATTAGTTTTGTTTTTCCTGTGCCATTCATACCGAGGTATTATCGTACCGTGAAATTCTGATACCGTTACATCCCTAATATATATATATATATATATATATATATATATATATATATATATATATATATATATACATATATATATACTTGCTTATATATAAGACAAATGGTAAAACCTACTTGTTCAAACGATGAGTGTTAAAGTATAGATTGATATACATATACAATCAATTAGTATTTTGCAGCAAAACTATGATCTATAAAAAGAGCCTATTCATACGACCTAAAATGATTTATGTTCTAAATGTTGTTGTATTTTGCCATACAAACTATTGTGACACTGAATTACGATTTAGTGGGTTTTTGGCAAAGAAAAAAAACTTCTAGAAGTGGCTCATTTGGCTTTGCGTCATACAATTATAAGCTTTTGTTCTCTGACCGTTGAGGAAAGTCATTGTAGGTATTTCAAATCATCACTGTAATTATGCTTTCCCTTTGCATATGTAACATGTTTTTGTCCTCCTCTTTCTTTCAGATATTCCCAGCAGGATAATATTGTCTGAGCAATTAAAGGAAGACCTGATGCAATTAGAGAGCTTGATGCCAATCTTTGATCATAAAAATGAAGATGCAGGTTTGAGGAAGCTGATGGAACTATGCGTGTAATCTCAGTTACAACGCTTACAAATGCTCCATTTAAAATATACACATAAATAAATAAATACAACAGGAAAATAAGAATTGTGAATCACTTCTGCCCCCCTGTGGTTTGCTATCGTATTGGATTTAATTGATCTTGTCATATCCAGTACTAATTTCTTAATGTAGCAAAACAGTATTTTATTACTTTAGAGAAAAATATTAGACTAATTATGAGACTAATATCATATATATATATATATATATATATATATATATATATATATACATACATACATACTGTATATATAAGAGAATAAACCTAACAAAAGCCATGGTCATTTATCTACCTAAAAAAGAACAAAAAAATAAACACATGAAATTACTTATTTCTAAATATAAACCACTGACACGGTGCTGCTATTTTCTAGCGCAACATTGTTATCAGTTAGAAGCTCATATTTCGAAGATATCAAACCATCAATCAATAAACCAAAATCCTATCTCTGATGACCTTGCGATTCCTTCCCCCAGAGCAGACTGATAAATGAGGTACAGATTGTAGGAGTTTAAAAATCAAATCTAAGTAATCAATGTACGCATCCAATTGTGTTATAAGCCTCCACAGGAGAACGATGTAAATAAAGTAGTCTGTAAAGCTGACTTGGCAGCTCCACAAATCTGAGAAAATTCATACCATCTATGAGAAATCCCTTCGCATCTGACTCGCAATGAAAACGTAGACTGAAAAATGAAATGGTTTATGAAAGATGACATGTTCTTCGGGGATACTATCAAAGAAAGAAACTGAATATCAAATTTATACAATGCCTTTCTCCCTGCTCAAATTGTTTCTCAAAAATTGAGGAAAGACCACATGGCTCTATCACAATGCCAGAGATGATGACGCCTTTACCAATGGTCTACAGTAATATATGAAAAATGTATTATTACAGACACCCCCCAATTCACGAGAACATTCAGAAAATGGTATACCTTCAAAGGGATATTACTTTTTTTCCATCAAAATCGACCATGTTTTAACTGAATGCAATATTCTGTTGTAAGCCATCATCTGACATCAAGCATTCTTGTTTCTCTCTCTCTCTTTTTTTTACAATGACAACATTGTTGAAAAATATGTGATCCCAAAGGAATCTTTCTTTGAAACAGAATGGCTTTATGTAACAAACCACAAAGCAGCACACCAACAAAAACAGGTCTGAATTCCAACACTGTGCTTTTTTAAGCATCTTCTTGATATTTTTGACATTTTCATAACACTTTTTACCTCAAAATTGTGTATTTTACAGTCACAAATTCAACAAACAAGCATATGAATCTATCGTTCATACTTACAAACGCTGAAATACTTGATTGCTGTTTTCCCACCAAAATGATGTCACTTCCTGGAAAACGTATTTTTTAAAAGGGATTGCATGCTAGCTAAAAAAAAGTAATAAAAACAATAATATAAATTAAAATAAAATTATATATATCTTCATATTTAATAATATAATTAATATATATTTTATTTTAATTTATAATATTATTTTTATTATTATTTATTTGGCTAGTATGCAATCGCGTTGGTTATAATTTTATATAATATATATTTTATTTATATTATATTATATTTTAACAATAATGTTTTTAACATTCGTGACAAATAAATAAATTAAACGGTTTATTGTATAGGATGAAAACTATTTTTTTATCTTTAAAAATGATCATTTGGACTATTTTATTGGTATGCAATGGGTCAATAATACCATATTCATGGAGAAGATATAAAATGTAAATGTGCTGTACATGGGGAATAACTCATTTCTTTCATGTTGTCCAATGTTGAATACTGAGCTAAGGCAAACTTCACTTTCAATTCTCTGACGCTAAACCACGCCCAAGGTAATGACGCACCACCACAGCGACCATAGACGCCTGAGAGGGGCGTGACTTTCGCTTCAAATCACCACCTATAGCGGAACTTGCAAGTCAGCTGATAATGTTGTAGGAACGCACGGGTTAGAATGTACATAGGAAATCAGTTTTGTGTGTTTTTGAGCATTTTTCTCTATATCAGTGGTTGTTTAGGGGAGAATTACGATATAGATGATAGTCTCGGATTAGGACAAACGTTTGATGGCATTGGTGGATTAAGCGGTGGTGGGGTGAGTTCACAGTACTGCGCTTCCTTTTTCGCAGTTTCTAAAGTGCTTAGTTGGTAAAACTGTTTACAGAAAATGTTTAAAAATACAATGTGTTATATACTTGTTTTCCACAGGCGACATCGCGTTTACTTGTCAATTATGAGGAGCCATATCAGAGTCAGATACTAGACTACCTGTTTAAGGTCTGTTGGAAAAGAATGTGGTCAGACTACAATTTCTGAAATACTATTTTCTATAGTTTCTTTATAGACTATATGCATGTAAATGTGTATTTAACAGCCAAAATTTGGAGCCTCCTTACAAATCCTAAAGGTTGAAATCGGAGGTGATGCTCAGACTACAGGTAAACTCTGCTATTGAGGAAAAGTTGGTTTTATATTCGCACATTCGAACTTTCTAGTTAATAACAAACTTGTTATTATAAGAATTCTTTGCACGTTTTTAATAGGAAAACAAGTTATCAGCCAAAGACTATCAAAGTACAACATTGTTCACAGTCAATTAAATAATTAATTCTTACTTGCATGCTCTGACCAGCAGCGTGGTAAAGACAGGCCCATAGCCAGTCTGATGAAAATGGTGGTTCTTTTTTTTTTAGCAAAAAGTTAAACTTTTTGCTGTTATTTGCCTCATTTTCTATTTATAGATGATATTTAAATACTGACTATTTAGTGACATTTTAAGACCTATTTTTAGCTGGATTTGCTTACCAGATGATCATCATAACCACACTTTTTTATGTTGCAAAAATATTTCCTAAAGATTTAGAGTAATGAATAATGAATAAATACTTATTTTTAAAATACAAATTTATTACATCATATAACATCATTAAGAAAAAAACATGGGTCTGTAAATGTTTTTAAATTAAAAACTGTAGCCTGTTGTCATTTATTAGGCAAAGAACAAACTGGCCAGCACATTTAACTTTCCTAGGTCATAATTTGGCCATTTAAATAATAAAAATGAAACTCATATTAATAATGTAGAGCTTCACAAATTTTCTTGACTCTCTTTTAAAAAGGTTACATTTGAAAATTCACAGATAACAACAATAGACGGATTAGTATTTAAATTAATTTTAATATGGGCCATTTTTGTGGCAGAATAATTGTTTATTTAACAACAATACAGTAGGTTAGTAGTAAAGAATGACTTTATATTAACTCAGATTGAATGTTTTCTTGCACAGCCGGATGTCGGACTCATGAAAAATAATAGTTTGCATTGGCCAAAACTGATTAATTGCAGTCACACTAGAGATAACCAACAGAGGATTCTGCTTGGTCTTAACTTTATGCTTTTTTTTTATTTTTATTTTTTTTATACAATTTATGATGGCATAGCCAAATAGGACAAATGAGCTCATGTATGCAACAAAAACTTTGTCAGTGAGGGGTGGGTCTTTCAAACCACGTGAACCCCCCTGGCTACAGGCCTGCAAGACCATGTCTCAAGTTGCCACTGCTCAGATAGTAACAAATGTGGGAAAATAAAACCAATTTTGCCTCAGTACCTGCTTCTTTTAAAACCTGTGAACAGCGAATGGTTGTTTACTGTACATTTATCAGATGACCTATGTAATGATTCACAGATGGAACTGAGCCCTCACACATGCACTATGAAGATGATGAGAATTATTTTAGAGGGTATGAATGGTGGCTAATGGTGGAAGCCAAGAAGAGGAATCCAAACATCACCCTCATAGGTTAAAACAAATATTATTAATTGTTAGTTTTTAAAACAAATAAAGTACTAATCCTTCGTTTCTAATTGTGATATTTATATTTTAGCTTTAATGATTTGTCTATCGACAGGTCTACCATGGGCCTTTCCAGGTTGGGTTGGAAATGGTAAAAACTGGCCTTATGATTTCCCTGATATCACTGCGTCTTATGTGGTGGCGTGGATTCATGGAGCTAAGAAGTACCATGACCTGGATATTGACTATATCGGGGTAAATGCATCCCAATATATTTGATTCATTTTATTTTATTCATTACTGTGGCCATATTTATTACTTTGAATATGTATTTTTGTTTATGCAGATATGGAATGAAAAGAGCTTTAATGTGAAATACATAAAGGTAAGTAAAATTGAACATGTCACTCATTTATTTATTTAGTTTATTATTTAATGTAAATGTTGACTTTCTAAGCTCTTTTTCAGTTTATCCCCTCAAAATGAAGTAGTTCAGTAATAGTTAGCCTATGTTATATGATATTGAACAACTATGCTAATATAATCTTGAACATAATATAAAGTCACTTTCAACAGAGAATGTAGAACATCTGTTGTGCACTCAAACAAATTGAGTTTAGCTGCCAAAGCAGTACATTTCATTTTAAAATAAACTAGAAAATAACTAATTGATAATATAATTATTAACTCTTACTGACCACAAAGATAAGAAGGTGGAATGATATTTGTTTTATTGTTTACAAATTCTTTCAATTCTTTGCCTTTCCACTTTGTTTGCTAGCTTTTGCGATACTTACTGGATAAAAGGGGTCTGGAAAAAGTTAAAATCATTGCCAGTGATGACCTCTGGGAGCCAATCACCTCTGCTGTATTTGCTGACAAAGAATTATATGATGCTATTGAAGTCTTGGGGTATGTAGATTTATTTAGAAATCCTCCAGAATAGCTTTTTTGGTATTATCTTGAACATTGTGTAAGCATTTGTTTTATATGTCAAAGAACAAGAAGTTCTAATATGTCACATTCATATGAGATTTTCACATAAAATTCAGCATACATTTCAGAGACAACATAAGAAGTTGTTTTTTTGTTTTGTTGCAAACACATTTTAAGAGTAGTAATGTAATGTGGTAACCTTGATGTTGGAATCATTTGGCTTGCAGGGTACATTACCCAGGCACAAAAACTGTGCCTCGTGCCCTGAAGACTGGCAAGAAACTGTGGTCCTCTGAAGACTACAGTACCTTCAATGACAATGTTGGCGGAGGTTGCTGGGCCCGAATTCTCAACCAGAACTATGTCAATGGCAAAATGACAGCGTATGACGACTTTTTATTTGATTTGACTCATTTGGCATTTTCCTTTTAATAAGGAAGAGCTACCATGCATTAATTTCAGAGATAAAAAGCTATTTCAATCTATGAAAGCTTGTTTCTTCCACTGATTAAAAAAGGGTCATGGAAACCTTCTCAGAATTCAGACTTTTTAGTGTAATATGAACTCATAGTTGCTAGTTATAAAGGAGAAAATACATACTCTTAATTGCAAGAAAAAGGTCAGAATTACGTTAAAACTCACAATTCTGACTTTTCTACTGCTAATTCTGACTTTTATCTTCAGAATTGAGACATAAACCTGCAATTCTGACTTTTCTAATCACAATGAATGATTTTAATCAGATTTGTGAGAGATAAACTTGCTATTGAGAAGTAAAAGTCCAATTCTAAAGGGAGAAAAGACAAATACAAATGCAAGTTTAAAAAATCTCAAATAGACATATGTTAGTTTATGTTGTGGAATTCTGAGGGATTCTTTTTTTTCTCGGTGGTTTAATTTAGTTTTAATCTGAAAATGAACAAAATGAATGCATACACTTGTGTTTGCTTTTAGGACCATATCCTGGAACCTTGTTGCAAGTTATTATGAGAACCTTCCCTTTGGAAGAGATGGAATAATGACTGCAAATGAGCCGTGGAGTGGAAATTATGTTGTTGAGTCCCCTGTTTGGACAACAGGTAATGTATTCAAATGTATTATACATAGTCATGAATATTATATGCTTAGTGTAAGGTCATGTTTGATACAACTAACAAAGTATTTAATTCATGAAACCCTATAAGCCCACACTACCCAGTTTACTGAGCCTGGCTGGACATACCTGCAGACAGTAGGACACTTCACTCATGGTGGGAGTTACGTTGCACTGACTGATCAGAGAGGAAATCTCTCAATAATCACTGAAACTATGGTGAGGCTTTTAAAGTTGATATTTAAAATTGGCATAACATACACTTCCGTCTTAAAACTTTAAACTTAGAGTTTAAACTGTAATATTACAAAGTATTATTACAATTTAGTGTGTGTGTATATGTGCATATGTTTCATATATTTGCTGAATAGAAATATACATTTAGTTCAGTAAAATCTTAATGAGCCCAAAATATTGGATAATATGGTATACTGTACATGCTCTTCCTTATAGTCTATATGTTTGTGTGGGTATACATATATTTTCTTTCCTTTTTAGACCCATGACCACTCTGTGTGTATCCGACCTCCTCTGCGTCCCTATAATGTCACAGTCCAGAATGTAACATTCAATCTGAAAGGAACTTTTGTAAGTGATATTTATTATTTTTTTATTGGTTTACAATGGATAAAATGACTATAGAATATAATATAGAACAACTTTTTTTTTTTTTTTTATACCAGGCTTTCATCAGCCAGCTGGATGTGTGGCACTCAAAGTTTGATTTCAAGACAGATAAGACGGTCCTCTTCCAAAAACTTGACCCTGTTAAAGTAAGTACTGTAAACTGTATGTGCAAAATCAATAAATTAAAAAGAATTAGGACAAAGTAAGAGAATACTTTTGGTTTCTTAAAAAAAAGGCTCTGTATAAATAATTATTTACTGTACTTGTGTTTTTATGAGTTATTTGTAATATCGTAATATATTTCTGTGTGAATGCTGCAGGTAATAGGTGGGTCTTTCAGCATAGAGCTTGATGTTGATGAAATATATACATTTACTACTATAACCAATGGTCAGAGAGGGACTTACCCTGATCCTCCACCTTCTGCTCCATTTCCTAAATCATACAGGGATGATTTTAATGTCTGTAAGTGGCTTCAATATAATAGTTTTTCTCATTTGATAATGGTTCCAGTATTTTTCAGTGTACCAACTTGAACTTTGTATTTTGTCCAGCTGGAAATTTCTCAGAAGCTCCGAACTTTGCAGATCAGACAGGGGTTTTTGAATACTTCACTAACCTTACAGATCCTGGACCTCATGTTTTTACTCTGCGTCAGGTGGTCACTCAGCGTCCCATCACATGGGCTGCAGATGCTGATCAGACAATAAGTGTCATTGGTGATTATGCGTGGTAAGTGCAGAAGGGTCCATTAGGCTTTTAAAACTTTTGTTACGATTCGTTATGTAAACTAACTTCAAAAGTCAGTCTGTTAAAAAAAAAAAAATTATTCTGAAAGAATGAATGATGCTTATACACATGAAGCACAATAACTATGAAGACAACAGTAAATGTAGTTTATAAATATTTAAAGTCAATGACTTGCCTATCTGGGCGAAGCAGTGGCGCAGTAGGTAGTGGTGTCGCCTTACAGCAAGAAGTTCGCTGGTTCGAGCCTCGGCTCAGTTGGCGTTTCTGTGTGGAGTTTGTACCTGTGTTCGCGTGGGTTTCCTCCGGGTGCTCCGGTTTCCCCCACAGTCCAAAGACATGCGGTACAGGTGAATTTGGTAGGGTAAATTGTCCATAGTGTATGAGTGTGTGTGTGTGAATGTGTGTGGATGTTTCCCAGAGTTGGGTTGTGGCTGGAAGGGCATCCGCTGCATAAAAACTTGCTGGATAAGTCAGCGGTATATTCTTCTGTGGCGACCCTGGATTAATAAAGGAACTAAGCCGACAAGAAAATGAATGAACGAATAAATGACTAGCCTATCTAGAAAATAATTGGTTACACCATGGGAAATATTAATAAAAAGATGGATATTATGCAATCCAGGTTAGCAAATTGAATTTTAAAAATAAAAGTACAGGAATTAGGATCCTGGTGGAATGCTGGGGAAAATAGTTTGTGTTGTTTTTATTTTACCACACTGTCTGTGCTCACTATATTTGTTTTATTCGATTTATACATTTGTTTTGCTAGATTACACAAGCTGAATGGACTATATGTACAGCTAGTGTTTTTCAGCCAATGATGAACTTCCGGTGAAAGCTTTGTGACTATTTTCTATTTCACAAGGTTCCTTTTACAGCATCATTGTTGTAATTTAATTCAAATACTATCAGTTAAATAGACTTAAGCATCCATTTGGGTTGTTAAAGTGTAAAAAGGGACAAAAGACAGTTTAAATGTAGGCACCATCATTAGCAGCAGGCTAGCACAGAAATTCACCAGGGTAAAATTAATTTCCATATTTTAAAGACATGGTGTGGAAAAATGTATTTCAATGCAGTGTTTCTTATTTGGTCTGATACTGATTTTATATCTCATCTCAGCCAGACAGTGTGGATGGTTGTGTTGTTGTTGTTTTTTTTATTTATTTTTTTTTTTTAAGAAATCAGATCTTAAACGCGGCGATTTTTGTATGGGATGACAACCGGAAGCTCTGGGGCTGGCTGACTGAAATTAAAAGTCTGTGAATGCGGAAGAACTGTTCATTTGTCAGTAACCAGGGTGAAGCACTTCTGGTAAATTGTATACCATTACAAAATCAGCGTTTTAAAGGTCAGTTTTCTTTAAAAATCAGTGATCTTCACTGTCTGATTGATACAATATAAAATGGGCCTCCAATTATACAAGAAGCACTGCATTAAATTACATTTTCCCTGCCATGTCTTTAAAATATGAAAATTTATTTTACTTCAGTATAGTCAATGGAGCTTCAGCGCTAGCCTGCTAATCCTGACGGGCTTGTGCGTGTACTTGTTACCGGCTTTTCAACTCGTTTTACGCTTGAGCAACTAAATGAATGCCAAAGTCTATTTAATTGATCATATTGTAATTACATTACAACATCGATGCAGTAAAAGGAACTGCATAAAATGGAAAAGTCGCATTAACTGTTCACCGGAAATTTATTACTATAGGAGGAAACACTAGCTCTGCATTTAACCTATTGACTAGCCAGATACACTAGGGACATCTTGTGGTTACATATTGGTAATGCAGAATGAAGTATAAATATGAAGAATTAATTTAAATAAACTGTTTTATTGTTTTTATGTGTAGAAGCAAATCTCTTTATATTTAAAGTTACTGTGCCTGGTGTAAACGGGCTTTAGTACTGACATTAGACATACATTGATTAGTTTAAGTGAGGAAAAAAATAATAATTTACTCACCATCCATGATGTACTGTTTTGTTGGTCTTTAAGTAGAACCTTAAAAATCTTTAGCTGAAATTGTAGACCTTGGTGGTCAAAAAAATGGCACTTTGAAAGTAAACACATACGGGCAGAATAAAATGAATATCAGTCTTTTGAAGCAAAATGATCAGTGTATGAAAGAAATTGAACATTACTTACTACACTTTTAATACACAGTCTAAGCAAACGGTCCTTTAGTGTTTGCTTCCTTTTGCAGTGTACATGTGTGAGGAATATTGTCTTTTTTACTAGTGTGTTAAAGAATTGATGGCTTTAACAGGCATGACGTAATGGTGTCGTGTGACGTCTACATGGAGGCTGTCCAGACCGGTGGAGTATTCATTGCTGCTCGAGTGGACAGAGGTGGAGGTGTCATCCGAAGTACAAGAGGAGTCTTTTTCTGGGTGTATGCTGATGGCACCTACAAAATCACCAATGATCTCCGTAAGCAGCTGAATAATAAGTGCATATTTATTTCACTCTATTGTAAGTTTGACTAGGTCAAGGTAAAAAATACCATGTTTCATTTACAGGTGGATTGGCGGTCCTTGCCAAAGGTTCGGCTGGAACTAGAGCACGTACATGGTACACATTGACCCTTAGAGTCCAGGTTTGTTAAATTATGTATAAATGCTTCTAAACATAATTTATTGCTGAGTTTTCCCTCAACTTTTAAGTCTTATCTGTTGTGTTTGTCACATTTTGCCACACTGTCAGATTTGCACTTTTGCAGAAGGCCGCTGATCTGTCATTTATTCTGCGTTTTCAGGGAAACTATGCCTCAGCAGATCTCAATGGCTATTCTCTGTGGAAGAATGCAGTGCTCTTGAACCCTCTGCATGGATGGGTGGCCATAGGCACTAGTTCTTTTCAACTTGCACAGTTTGATAATTTTGTCATAGAAGCAGAATAACACCCCATATTGTATTTATATTCATTGCTTTTTCAGTGTGTAAACAAGCAGACTGAAAACAAGCATCTTCAGGACTGTGAGAATAATGTGATTTTATGAAGAAATTAATTTATTAAGGATATGCTGCTATGTGCCTTAAAATTGAGAACTATGTAATAATAAAATTAAAAGTATGATGTACATTTACTTTTTCTTTGTTGAAAATCAAATACTGATACTAATTAAATCACCTCAATCTTTTACATTCTCGTGCTTGATTTAGACTTCTGTTTTTTTTTTTGTAATTATTATTTGTATGTGCTGAGCTTCAAGAATGAATATTGTTTCACTATGCACTTACAATGTAATATCTGTTTAATGTGTTATTGCTAGACTTTTGTTTTGGACGGTGAAATGTTTGTGCAGGGATGTTATCAGACTTTTGTTTTGGACCGTGAAATGTTTGTGCAGGGATGTTATCAGAATGTTAAACCCAGGAACAACTTTTCATCAATGGTTACCTCATTTTAACCAGCTTGGGGGGAAAAAAGTCTACAAAGTGGGAAGACCCATATGATCTATCACATAGCTCAGCTTGTACCACATAATGCCCTAAGATGACCAGTATGATGAATCATACACAACAGAACCATCTGCATGTGATGTCATGTCTGTACTCTAACGTAGGCCTACTGAGAACTGTACACCTGTTGTTTACATGATGTATGTGGCCTCATAATAGTATGATGAATATGCTTAAACTGGAAGCCAAATAAATCAATTGCTATATATTTTTATCGAATCCCGCACCTTTATGTTCTCGAAAGTTAAATGATATAAACAATATATGCTGTATAGTTTATAACGGCTCACGGTATTTAAGCCTTTAAAAAAGTCATTCAGGCTAAGGGTATGTTGTGCAAACCGCGCGAAAGCATCCGTTTCTTAGCAACAAAAAACAACAACAGTAATGGCGGAAAAGATAGATGAGAGACCTCAAAACTCCCGACGTGTTTTTATTAACAACGTCGATGCATACACGTCGAAAAATATTGCAAGGGTAAGCTATTTGTAAATAATGATTCTGATATCAAACGCTTTTGAACATTTGAACTCATGATGAATATATAATACAGGAATTTACCAAAACTTGTCATTACGTATGAATTATACAGATAATCTGTTTACCCTAACGTTACAGTCAAGGTTGACAAGCAAATAATCAAATAATGTTTGTTAAAGAAAGTAATAAAAAATAGACAATACAAAGCCAATGTCAGTTTTGACATAAATTCATGATTTGAAATTATTCTAAATTTTTTTTTAATGGCTGACAGAATTTTTTTTTATTTATTCATGGAAAGGATGACCTTTGGCTGAAATACTCCTGATTATTTAGCATTTTTACAATACATTGTAGGTGGTTGATTCCGCTGTGCCGTCCCTAAATTAATAAAGAGACTAAGCCGAAAAGAAAATGATTGAATTACAATAAATTATATTGTAAACATACATTAAGGTGACTATAGGACGATGATCCAATTTTATTGCAACTCAAGCATTTAAATAACCTTACAATCAGGACATTTTAACGTTTTAAATCATTGAAAACGAGTGTTTGAGCAGTGGTGTTTCTGTGTTTAGTTTCTAGACTTGTGTGTAGTTGGTGCATCTCTTGTATTTGCTGGAGAGGCTGATGTGGAGGAGGAGGATGACAGACTGCATGATGACCAAGCAGAAATCAAAGACGGAACCTTCCAGATTGTGGGAACAGTCTCCAGCCAAACAGAAGAGAAGTGCAGCTTTATAGCTGAACAATACAGTGTAAATAAATCACTCTTTACTGCAGAAATATGCAGTCTTTTTAAACTTGTGCTGCCACTTGGCTTTTTTGTTGTTGCTTTTTTTACATCTTTTTTCCTCCCTAGCATCACACGAAGCGTGAAGATCTTCTCCATCACCTTCTGAAATGTGATGTGATTATTTATGATGTTACTCAGCATGCTGATCAGATAGATGAAGCACAGTGGGCTGTCTCGGGTAATTTAATTTATTTAATGTAACTGATTCATACACTGCTGTTATAAACCTTTTCTTGACTCTTATCAAGATGCTCAGGCCATCCAAGAGGTGACTTTTCCAACATATATATATATATATATATATATATATATATATATATATATATATATATATATATATATATATATATATATATATTGTTAAAACCGTGGTCCTTGGTGATTTATAAAATAACAAGAAGTCAATTGCTACGAATGCTTTGAGAGCAAAAAAAAAAAAAAAAAACATTCAAAACAAAATAAATATAATTAAATAATAAATTATTTAAAATAAATTACCTGCGGCTCCTGGAAATACATGAAATGAAACTATCAGGAAACTTTACTTACCTTCACCTTTAATCAAACCCTCTACAAATGGTCTTGTTCACTTGTATTTTATGAACAACTAAGGACCAGTTTAAAAAAAAAAAAAAAATCTTGAAAGTTAAAAATGTCATCTACTTCTTGGACACACCCATAGCGATTAAGTTTACAGCTGATTTTAATTTTGGGGTGAACTTACCCTTTTAAATTATCATCCAATCGCAGCTCTTTATGAAGAAATGGACAGGTTTCCTGCAGCTAAGACGTTTATCCTAGTGTCAACCGTTTTGACATGGGCTATGACTAAACCTGCTGATAAAGTAGGAATAGTTCAACTTCTTTTTAAATAATTGTTATTTCTTGAGTGCTTACTTGATTAGCATGTAACGTGATTAAACAATTGTATTAATGAATGTCTTAACTCTACATAGGATTACCCGGAAACTCCTCTTACAGATAGCAATTACAGGAGAAGAAAAGCACACCCCAACTTCCATAGGCACATCAGTTTGGAGAAACTTGTGGTCAAATTAGGCAAAACGGTAAGCAAGAACTTGCAGAATAATTACTTTTCATTTTAGAACACATTGACATGACAGCAGTGTATTAGAAATAGTTTTTACTTAGCATTTTTACTGTAAAACATTTTTAATTTCATTGTAAAATATTTGCACTTATATATTGACCTTATTCATCACGTATGAGCAGCCATTGGAATCTATTTTTTTTTCTTTCTTTTTTTTTTTTTGCTTAAGATTTGCGGGAATCACTTCCATTGATGAAACTGATATTTTTTGTATTTAATACTTGCACTTAAAAATTGCACATATTCGTCGTACTACATTGCACTAATTCATTTTGAATTATCCAATGTAGTACAACGATTGTAATTAATTATACATTTGTAATTAAGTTCATATATATCTGCATACTTCTGATTATTAATAGCAACCTGTACATATATTCATCTACTGTTAATCTAACATTATTCTGTATATAATGTTTATAGTGCATCCATCTCTAAATATTACCCATAGTATTTCCTATAATTGCGCTTTATAACGTATACCTGTATCCTGGACTTGCTGCTATTGCACTTCTGGTTTGACCTAAACTACTTTTAATTGCCTTGTACTTGTCCATGTGTAATGACAATAAAGTTGAATCTAATCTAATCGAATCTATATTATTATATAACTTTTGGATACTTTATTTTAAGGTGACATAGTTACAGAATAATTATTAATTCATAAGGAACCCGCGGGGTCTTAAAATGTCTTACATTTCAAAAACAAAATTTTTAGGCCTTAAAAAGTCTTAAATTCATTGAAATATAGTGCTGTAGGTCTTAAATCATTTTAAACCAGCCTTAATTTTTCTATGTTCAAGTAAAGCTACCCTATCGAGCTGACACCCATTCAACCAATAATTAATCTTAAAACCTTTTTGTTTATATTCAAGTTTTATATAGCAAAAAAATACAATTCACAACAGCTGTTAAACATTTTTACAGCAAATTCTTCAAATTAAATAGCCTAATCAGGAAAAGAAAAATGAAGCAACACATCCCTTTACATGATCTTCCATTATATACAAAAAACTATTTACAAAAGTAACTGGGCCATAAAAAAATCCTTCGTATCTAAATGTGCACTTATATTGGTCTTGAAAGGGTCTTAAAAAGTCTTACCCTGATTTAACAACTAAATAATATTAATTTCATATACTTACATTACATGTACTTATTATAGGGTCGGGGTTAGTTACATGTAATTATGCATAATCTATTGTAGTTACTATAGTAATTTATGGAACATATGTAACTGTGTCACCTTAAATTAAAAAGTTAACAATTCTTTTTTTCATGAATCACACTTGTTTGTAGAGCAATTAGTTTGAACATTTTTCTGACATTTATTATTCATAATCATTTCTCCCGTAGGCAATTGAATTTGAAGTTCTAAAACAAATCGCAAAAATAAGCACACTTCGTATATTAGAATAAGGTGAATACTGATAACATTATACATGTGCATGACGTATGAATTTACTTATTTATTTTTTGTAGTTTTCATGGAATTTTTATTTTTTATTTTTGTAGTTTTCATGGCATTTTTTTTTTTTATTTGCACTTTTAAAGACATTTTTAAAAACCCAAACCCTGTTGTCAAACAATATAAGTGACATTTAGTTGAATAGCAATGTGTAAAAAAATGCCCTTCGCTGAAATTTAATGCAAAATTACAATCGAGTCATTAATGATGCTTTAAAACACTTAAATTATCTTACTGTTTAAAAGTGTAATATTCATATTTATTAATCAATGATTTTCAGAAAAGTTCTCGCTTCTCCACATATGTTGTTGCATCGGGGCTACAATATGGAATGGAAGAGCATGTGTTTCACTTGTTTTTTAAGGTAAGTCTTGGTGTACATTTTAAAAAGCTTTGCACTAATTCAAATGTCAATGCTAAACAGTACGTTGTGGTTTGTTGCTCTATATAGATGTCATGGATGGGTGAAGTTTCCCATGTGCCCATTTTTGGAGATGGCTCCAATATTATCCCCACCATTCACATCAATGATCTGGCAGGGTTAGTACAATTGGAGTTTTATGACATTATCATCCAAAAGCCAAGTGATCCTACATTTAGCATACACTGTGTTTGTGTTTAAAAAGGATCATCCAAAATGTCATTGACCACAAGCCAAAAGTGCAATACTTTGTTGCAGTAGATGACTCCAAAAACACAATGGAGGATATCATAAAGGTGAGATTACACACACACACACACACACACTCTCGATATGTTTTATGTTTGTACACAACAAATGTTTCTCATGCAATGAAATCTTCTTTAAGGCAATAACACTCATGCTCGGACCAGGAA